ATTTGTGGCCTAGCCTAGAATCAGAGCAGGAAGAGCTGCTGTCTTAATGAAAGGATAAACAGGAAGTCACTTACCCACCTGTTTAGGGTGACAAAAAGCAGGCCTGGGCTCTAGGTTTGAGGGGCCTGGAAAGAAGCAAGGCCTTGTCTTCACCAGGGGCTTTGTCGTTTCACTGTAGTTCCTATGTGGACCATGATCCTATAAATAATAAGGTGGGCCAAAACTCTCCCTGGGATATTTCTGCAGAAGCAAATGCAAAGCCGTCTGGAAGAAGCCATCCTCACTCAGCCTGGATAAAGAATACCATTTTTTTTGTTTGTTTCCTTTTGGACTTTGACCTCCAGTGTTTATCTTTTTGTTGTTGTTAAGTGCCATCAAGTCAGTTCTGACCCCTAGCGACCCTTTATAGGGTTTCCAAGGAATAACTGGTGAGCTTGAACCTCCAACCTTGCAGTTCAAACAGCTTTGCAGTCTGGCACATTAACCCACAGTGCCACACCAGTGTACATCTTGTTGTTGTTAAGTGCCATGGCTACTCTGTATAGGGTTTCCAAGCAGCAGCTGGTAAGCTTGAACCACCGACCATGCAGTTCAAACGACTTTGCAGTCTGATGCATTAGCCCACAGCGCCACACCATATAGAATAAATCTTACTGCTGATTCTCCGGGTGAATAAATATCAAATGTATTTGACAGAATCTGGGGTTGGACAGAGGAGACTGGAGCCAATACTATATAATCTTATTTATGGAGCCCTGGTGGTATAGTGGTTGAAATGCTCAGTTGTGAAAAGCAACCAAAAGATCGGTGGTTTGAACCCACCATGCACTCTGTAAGAGAAAGATAAAGCATCTGTTTCCATAAAGATTTACAGCCTTGGAAACCGTATAGTAGAATAAATTGGCAGTTCTATTCTACTCTGTCCTGTAGTGTCTCTATGAGGTGACACAACAGCTGGTGGCTGGGTTGGGTTTGGATTTGGTCCCTTTTACTTACAAACGATTACAGGTCAGTAGATATTTATCCATTCAATAACTATTTTTTGAATTCTTTCTTACTTGATCTGTACTTGGTTATCAGTTCTTATGTGACAACTTGGATGAGCCCAGGCCCCTTAGTCTGACCACTTTGTGTTTCAGATGTCACTTTTTGTTTCTTCTGATGTATTATATAGTTGTTTTCTTCAACAATGTAAGCAGTTTGGGATTCTTTGGCTCAAATGAGTTTATTATATGCTATAAAATGGATTTTTGTTGTTGTTTTGTGCCATAGAGTCAGTTCATACTCATAGTGACCCTCTTACAGTGTTTCTGAGAGCGGCTGGTGGCTTTGAACCACTGACCTTGTGACTAGCGAGGCTGGAAGTCCAGTGCTTATCCTACAGTGCCACACGAAGGCCCATAAGATGGATTGTTCTGTGAAAAGGACAAACCAGGATTAAGAAAAGCTCAGAGACAGGCTTTTCTGGAGTCCAACAGAGTGAGTTTGAAGCCTGGCTCCAACATGTGGCTTTGGTCAAATTCTTTAACCTCTCTGAGCCTTGGTTGCCCACCTAGTGAAATGAGACTTTATGCCTATTAAATGAAGACCATAGAAACACTTTTGATACGATTGATAGCTGGCACAGGGTATATTTTCAATAGTCCTCCTCTTCACAAAACAAATGTCTCATTAGCATTGTAATGCCACCAATCGTGGAAGCTTGCTTGTTTACTTTTGGAATGAACATTGTATAAAATAGTTCTAACTTGGCACTGTTTAACATAATGACCAAGATTTTGATCCGCCTTCTTTGGCTCAAAGATTACTGTAGATTGCTAACCTGAATTCTTCTCATTGATAAAATAGATATAAAAATAAATTCTGCCTTAAATGATTGTTGTGAGGATTAAGTAGATTTTAATATCGACAAAATCTCTAGAATAACTCTTAGATAAAATTGACTAGCTTTATACAGCACTTGCTATGTGCCCAAGACACTGCTGTAAGCATTTAAAAATATATTATTAAGTCCAGTAATCCTCATAACTATCCTATGAGCTAAGTGGGTGTTGTCATTTTAGCCATTATTCAGATGAAGTAACTGAAGCACAGAGAGGTTAAAATAAAAGTCAAGACAGTTTGACTCCTGGTGTTTCGCTGTAGGATCAGCACTGGATTGTGAACCACATAATTGGAAGTTCAAACCCACTAACTTGGAAATTCTCTACAGGGTCGCTCTGACTCAAAACTGACTTGACAGCACTTCATAACAATTCAACATAGATAGTAAGTGGTGGATTTGGATTTGAATCTGGACAGCCTCATGCTACCACAGTCTGCTCTTGACCCTGTGCTGCTTCTCCCAGCAGACACTGAGTACATGATAAAACGGAATCAGTTGCTATTAATTCAACTCTAATTCCTGGTGACCCCATGTGTGCCAGAGTAGAACTGTCTTCCATAGGGTTTCAATGGCTACTTTTTCAGAAGTACATTGCTGGGCCTCTCAGTGGACTCAAACTTCCAATCTTTAGGTTTTTGTTAAGTGCCGTCGAGTCGATTCTGACTCACAGCGACCCTGAATAGGGTTTCTGAGTAGCAGCTGGTGAGCTTGAGCTGCCGACCTTGTGGTTCAACCTGACCTTATATTCTAGTGCATTAACCCACAGTGCCACACCAGGACTACAACCTCTAGGTTGTTGTTGTTAAGTGCCATCAAGTTGCTTCCAACTCATAGCGACCCTGTACAGGGTTTCTGAGGAGTGGCTGGTGAGCTTGAACTACCAACCTTGTGCTTCAACCTGACCTTGAAGTCTAGTGCATTAACTCGCAGTGCCACACCAGACCTCCAACATTTAGGTGGTTGTTGTAGTTGTTAACTGCCATCAAATCTGTTCCAACTCATAGCGACCCTGGATAGGGTTTCTGAGGAGTGGCTGGTAAATTCGAACAGCTGACTTTGAAGTTGAAACCAGATCTTGTGGTAGAGTGTTGATCCTACAGCACCACACCAGGATTCCAACCTTTAGGTTGTTGGTTGAGTATTTTGAATGTTTGCACCTCCAAGAACTCCTTTAGTACATGATAGCTGTAATTACTGTTGAAATTATTATTAAGTCAATAATAATAATATGTATTCAATAAATAAATGAAATATCATTGATTTGAATGCTTACTATGGACCAGACACTGAGAGTACAAAGAAATATTCTCAAAGAACGTTTTGGGCTAGTTTAACATAAAGAAAATGCATGAAATTTAGCATAACCAAACCTTCCCCACCCCACAAAAAAATCCCTTGCCATAGATTCACTTACCACTCACGGTGACCCGTTAGGATAGAGTAGAACTGCCATGGAGAATTCCCAATCCTTACAGAAGCAGACTGCCTCATCTTTCTTTGCTGGGGTCACTGGTGGGTTTGAACTGATAACCTAATGATTAGCAAACATTTCACCATGGCACCATCGGGGCTCATTAAATGTTAATATTGAAAGATAACATTTATTTACCTCTTTATCTAGGCAGATAGCGCTTGTCAGTAGAAAGACGTTAGATTACCTGGCTCTTGCTTTAAAATTTTGAGGAGAATTCCCTTGCAGGTGGATGTGGTTCATAGCATAGCATGTCAGTGGGGAGAATGGGAGACTCTTCTGTAGGTGCAAATGTTAGGACCCAAGATGAGGGGTGTCCCATTTCACACACATTCCTGCTTCCATCCTCAACGTCTTTTTTCTGTTAGAGAGAGGGCTTTTATTTGATGGAGTATCGAGTCCTAGATCTGAGGGACTTAACGGCGCAAAGAATTGACTTAATTATTGCTCCTAACTATTATTACTCAAGGGTTATAAATGGCCATGAATAATAGAAGGATTATTAAATGGACCTGTTTTCCTGAGTAAAAGTAAATAGTCTGTGTTGTTTTGCTATTTTATAGTGAGTTTTAAAAGTTTTTATTGTGCTAAAAAGATATATAACATAAATGTGCTATTTTAAGTGTGCTTTTAAAATACAGTTGTACAATTTAGTGGCATTAATTACTTTTGCTGTGTTCTTTGCAGCCTTCATTATGAGCTGCTTCTAGAATTTTTTTCATCACCCAAAACAGAAATTTGGTATCCATGAAACTCTCACTCCCTTTTTACCTTCCCCGCCTACTAATCTACTTTCTCTTTTCATTTGCCTTTTCTATGAGTGGAACCATACACCTACCATTAAGAATAAGAGAATTTTCAAGTAAAAATCCTAAACAGAGCAAAACGAAACATACGTTCTGCTTTGATTTTTTTTTTTAAATCCGAAGCATCTCAATTGCTCACTAGCTTTTTAAAGAACTTTTTACGTCTTCTTTTGTGGTTCATATCCGCTTTTAACTTTATTCTCCAGAATAAAACAAGCAGCAGTTACAGATCTGAAATAGTTTAATGAGTTTAAATAGGACATGGGATGAGTCATTAGCCAACAAACCTTTTGTTTCCATTCATGAGCCTTAAAATGATACTATGAAGTTTGGCTTCCCAGAAACACTTTGGGAGGCTTGAGATTATATATCAGCGAATTCAGAAATAATCTAAAAATTTATGTCACAGAGAAAGCATAACTAGCCACATTTTTTCCCCTCCACTGAACATTCAAATCAACATTGTTTGCAGTGACAAACCACAGTTTCTAAGAGACAGTAGTCGATAGATTTTTTATGTAAACACAAACTGCTGTCTTCAACAGGGAGTTTAAAGTTGGAAGGCCTGCTGAACACTGTGGATGTTAGAGTCCCATGGCCCTTGTCAGGACTGTGGGTTGACCAGTGTTTGGGGTCCACGGTTTTCCTTCCAATCCTGAAGAATGGCCATGGTTTTCCTTCCAATCCTGTGCTGCCCACAAACCTGGAAAAGGGAATGTCCTGACCTGAGAACAGCGCAGCGACAATACTCGTCTTCATCGTTTACTGCAGGTACTTTACTTGGCTGACTAGAGCGCATCTTTAAGTTGGTAGTAATTATGTCTTATTCACTTCTTAGGAAAGACCAAAACCTCTTGTCTCCAGTGAACTGCTGGTACTTACTCCTGAATCAAGTGAGGAGGGAAAGCAAAGACCATGCAACCTTGAGTGATATCTATCTGAACAATGTCATCATGCGGTTCATGCAGATCAGTGATGATTCCACCAGGATGTTTAAAAAGGTAAAATCCTGAAGGAGGTGTTGTGAACATTCCCTCCCACCAGTTTGCTCTTCTGGGAGGCCTGTCTTTGCACGCATGTATATATATACCCACTGTTCTTCCAGGCTGGGAAGTTTTCCTAGAGGAGGCAGTGGGATTGCTGGCAACTGGGGGAGAGAGCAAAGCCAGAAGATAATTGCTTCTTGCTTACCATTCATCCTGAGCAAAGAAGTTTTGAAAAGTTACTCTTGCCTCTCCTCCCCTTTACTGCCTAATTTGTACAGAACATTAGCAAGTGAAAGGTGCTGTACAAATAGAACGGAATCGGTTTTCAGATGAGACAAACAGTGATTTACAAAGACTAGAAAAAACATGCGTAGACCTTGCCATTCATTGCAGAAAATCTTGTTATAAGCAAATCAGTAAATTACAAGTGTTTGGGGACGTTGGTGATTATTTTCGTTATGATCAACTTATTCATATGGGAATATGCTATTTGGTCTGGGGTGTATCAACATGTCTTACTGAAGGTAAGTAATCATATGCTAAAACTCTTGGGGGCGGGGTGGGCGTGGGGAGGAGGAAAGAGGTAAACTCCATGAATGCTGCCCTGGTGCTTACCTATAACCAATCACTTTGCCAGTAATCAGTGCCTGGTGCTGACTTAAATATTCAGTAACCATTAGTTGAAAAATGAATGAATATGATAAAGACACAGAAAAGAAGCTGAAACCTAGGCAGGCCTACTTGTAGAACTATGAACATCACAACATCTGTGACCTTTCTACTGAATGGCGTGAGCAGAAGATGTACCTGAGAATCATTCCTGTGTCATTAGTAAAGAACTGTCTGAAGTGATGACATTCAGACCAGAGGAAAAGCCAGGTTCCTGGGTTTGGGACTCACATGTCTTGTGAAGAACAAGAAAATATCTCATGTGCTACTTTGTCAGGAAAATGTTAGCAAAATACTTCTTACTCACACCAGACCAGCAGCAGAGGTTGTGAGAGAGCATGAAAACAAAGTTGCACAGAGTACAGAAAACTAGTCTCTTCCAGGCCAGGGAGCTCCCTTGAACCCAAACCCATTGAAAAATAGGGGCTGGGTGTTTAAGGCTTCTTGTCATGGTTACTATAGTCTTGGTATGGCACTGTGGATTAATGCGCTGGACTACAATGTCAGTTTGAACTGCAAGGTCGGTAGTTCAGGCTCACCAGCTGCTCCTTGGAAACCCTAAATAGGGTTGTTATGGGTCAGAATTGACCCAAAGGTACTTAAATTCAACAACATCATGGTCATTTGAGTTCTGGTGTGACACATGGGATAAAAGCACTGGACCACAAGGTCAGTTTGAACCATATGGTGGATGGTTCAAACTCACCAGCCGCTCCTTGGAAACCCTATACGGAGTCGCTAAGAGTTGGAACAGACTCACGTAACAACTAAACAGCATCATAGTTACTAGACTTGGCCAGCTCACAGCAGTTTTGTTGTTGTCATTGTTTGTCTAGATATTTTTGCTGTGAACAATAACAAAATTGGACCATTTACCAAGTATACAATGCAGCTAACTTGCCAAATATTTTCAGTTTTTTAATGTGTGCAGGACAAAGTTTTTTGTTTTTGTTTTTTTCACTTAGCTTTGTGCTAGTAGTGTTTGGTACTAGTACCTGAACCTCAAGTCAGTATTAATCTCTGAAAGTAGGTAGAAATAATGATATTTCTATGTTTCAAAGGGGCCCCTTAAAACAAAGACATCGTGTTAAACAGGACAGCTGGAAAACTTAGTCATGTTTTATGTATCCACATTAGATTTGATTTCTGATCTAGAAATGCAATTTAGGAAACTCATAAGTCATCTTTTGGAGTTCTGGTGTGGTGCTGTGGGTTAATGTGCCAGACCGCAAAGCTGTTTGAACTGCAAGGTCAGCAGTTCAAGCTCACCAGCTTCTCCTTGGAAACCCTATACAAGGTCACTATGGGTTGGAACCGACTCAAAGGCACTTAACAACAACAACAACAAAGTTATCTTTTGTTCTGCTAAAGAGAAAAACATTTCAAAAAAGGAGTTTGTTGTTTTTTTAATTAGAAATAAGCCATTGGCACCTATTGACCTTGATATGAGAGAGAGAAGAGGAAGGGTGGGCTGGCAGATCTGAGGATAAGGAAGATGTGTGAACTTTTGAGCCAGTGAGTACTGACCTCTAGCCCCTGGGAACTAGTGCTGAGAGTGAAGCAGCGAGCTGGTCTGAAGTGCAGGGAGGTGTGTGTGAACTCCCAAACTAGCAGCTAGGAACCATGTGACCTGGCCTGGTTGGCTAGTTGACCAGAACTCAAACCGAGGAAGGGAAAGCTGCTTAATACTGAGAACAAGTGCAAATTGCTACAATTTGATGAACTAGACTTTTGCCTATGAATGCAGTGACTCAAATTCCAACCAGAATGGAAGGATCCTTCATATCAACGGGCAACCAGTGCACTGGGTTGATAGGGACAAGAAATGTAGACATTGGCTATCAAAAATTGGGGGCACTACAAAGACATGAAGTGGCTGGTTTACAAGCTTTCATAAGGTGCTTAGTTTCAGAATGGGGGTTAAGGTAGAATCCCTACTGAATAGTTTCCCTTTTTCCCAGATGGATCTGGTGAAAGGGGATGGGAGAGGATGGTGATAGGATTTTATGATTAAATTGTGAATAATTGTTAACAGGATTAATTGCGAATGTCACCACTGTAATCGTAGAAGATGTGTAACTAAAAGGAGGGAGTAGGTAATCTTTCATTTCAGGAACACGCAATCCCAGGACCCTCAAGAAGGGAGAGCATGAGTGGACTATGTGATCCCTGCCTAGAAAATTAGTGATAACAGAGACGGTGGCACTGTGTGTCTGAGGACAGGAGGCTGGCTGGCAGAATGTTCTCTCTGGACATTTAAATTAAAATACATATTTTTGTTTTATAAATGTAAAAAAATTGAAACTAAGGAGCATATTAATTAAGAAGAGAAATCTCCTAGGTGTGGTACTATGGGATAAGCACTGGACTGCTACATGAAAGGTCAGCGATTCAAACCCACTAGCTGCTCCTTGGAAATCCTATACAGGATGGCTATGAGTCGGAACCGACCCTACTGTCCTTATCAACAACAACTTACATAGTAGTGATTTAAAAAATAGTTTCCACTGAGCCATAAAAATAAAGTGGGTTTCTTGTGCATCAGCTTTCAGCCAAAACTTCAATCATTTCAACAGGGTTTTGGTTTGTTGGCATGTCTGCTATGAGAGACAATATTGGGCATGGGAAAGGCTACACAGATGAAGGAAAACAAGTCCTTGAGCTCAAGGAAGTTGCAGTTTTTGCAGATATGGAAGGCACTGGGTGGAGCCTTTCAGTCATGAGGTGCTGGCAAGCACTCATCCAGGCCCCCTGGGACCAGCACCTCAGTTGAGTTCATTTATTTATTCGTTCAACAAAACATCTTTAAAATGCCTGCCTGGGGAATCAAAGTTAAAAGACATGCCCCTGCCTGCATTGAACTCATTAATGATAATTAACAGTTGCAGTTACCCCACTAGAAGGAGGCACAGCTGACTGGGGAGATTGGAAGGCTGCACATCTCACCCAACCTAGAGGTCAGGGAATTCTTCACAGAAGAGTGACCACTGAACCTGAGACTACTAGAGTATCGGGGAGTCCATCAAACAGACATGGACAGTGAGCTGTTCTGTGGGAGAGAGGTTGGTTTGTGCACGGGCAAAGGGGTGTTAGATAACATGATGCATTTGGGAAAAGGAAAGCATTTAACTGGGCCAAGAGTTGTATGGGAGTGATGCCATGAGAAGACGGTCACATAGGAAAGGCCGTCCTACACTAATGTTGTTGTTAAGTGCCATCAAGTCCATTCCAACTCCTTGTGACCTATATAGGCTTTCCAAGGAGTGGCTGGTGTGTTTGAACTGCCAACCTTGTGGTTAACAGTCCAGTGCCTATTCTATATGGTCACAATAGGACTCCAGACGAATAGTACTACCTTATTAATATAATAGAGAAATCTCATTCGCAAATGGGATTATAGCCACCTGCCCTGGTGTGGCACACTGAGTTAATGTGCTGGACTGCAAAGTTGGTTTGACACAGAGGTTGGTGATTCAAGCTCACAAGCTGCTCCTTGGAAACCCTATACAGGGTCACTCTGGGTTAGAACCAACAACAATAGTTGCTAGGATTCATACAATTCAATTTGTAACAAATGACAAAGCTGGAATTTTTTTGTTCTTTTTGAAAAAAGACAGAGACTTGGTATGTCTTGTTAACATTGAAAGGGTGTGTGTTTTGAAATCAGTGTCAAGGGCTTGGTGTAACACTGATGGAAACCTAAGGCTGAGTTGTATGGATTTGGATTTGAATCCCAACTCTTCCTTGTGTTCATAGTAGACAATTCTGCTTCTCTTTATCTTCTTTTTCACCTATAAAAGAAAAGGGGTAATGTTATTTCTGTATGTCTTAAACTGGGTTGTAACGAGAGACATATGGGTACAGGAGATTGAGGGATATGCTCCAGAACCTCACTGAGAATACAAGAGACAGGACTGGACAGAAGGAGAAGCTGTGACCCTAAAGGAGTTCTGCGGCTGGGATTGCCCTTTGGAGTTCCTTCACAAAAAGGCCCAGAACTTTATTTCAATCGTTGGATTCAAGCTGCCATTGGGAAGGAGTTAAGTAATTTTGGTGGTCAGACAGCTCCCTTTAGTGGAAGGGGATTCCTGAGGGCAATTCCCAGAGAGAAACTCAGCTGTGAGTTTGCAGCCAGCAGCCAGTATTCCCAGTTGTTGGGGGGAATGAGTTCCTGTCGCTTGAAAGGGGGTCTGGAAAGTGCCCAGTGAACATATATCTACTACCAAAGAGAGACAGTAAGAACTGCTTTGTCTCTTTGCTATTTTGCCATTTTCTTGTTATCCAGATTTTATGGGGCTCAAAGAATTACACTTATAAACTGTCTAGCTACCTTTGTAACTGGTTAC